CCTCCATGTGATCACTAAATACTCTTAAATCCCTCATAATCTGCCAGTGACCTCTGGGTTGTCAAAATCAATGCTTCATCATTCCCCCTTGGCCCTGTAACATTTAATCCTGCTGACTGCCCCTTCCTCTAGGAGGCATCCTTTCCCTTGGCCACCAGGCCACTCTCTCTTCTTGAATTTCTTCTCATCTTTCTGAAACTCATTTATTGCATTCTTCCTCTTCCTACTCTTCAAACCCAGTGTTCTTCAAAGATTAGTCCTTGATCTTATTTTTTCCCTCTGCAACCATTCCCCACTTCTCAGGCTTGCTGGTCTTTGGTAAATGAACTGCATCACTAGAGTCACAGGCCTGACTTTCATCTAGCCCTGGGTTCCAATTCCACTTTTCCTGTTTTTGTTAGTTTGGTTTGATTTTTAAAGACAAAGATCCTCTATGTAGCCCAGGCTGACCTTGAATTCATGATTCTCCTATATCTGTCTATAAAGTGCTAGGACTGCGGGCATGTGTAACCATGCCCAGCCTAATACCACCTTTCTAAACACTTAAACATATTCCCACCCAGATGTCCCATGGGTGCTGGCACTCAAAATGACCCCAACTTTTAGATGTATTCTCTTTTGCTTTGGTATATTTTTTGGCAAGATCATTCCTCCATTGACCTAAAGGAAACCTGTCAGGGTTTTCTGCCCCTGCCAAAGCTCCAGTTGAGAAGTTCAGTTGTTTAGACCCCACTTCTATTGGGGTTGCCCTTCACCCTACTAAAAACGCTTGCCAGGATCCCTATCCTTCTACTTAAATTCCTTGTGTGCCTAACTAATCAGTCTCCACTGGTCTTACTTCTTCTTACCAACAATGCCAGGTACATTTTCACAAAACCCTCCACAGTTGTCCACTGCCCACAGAATACAGCCTCCTCCTCCACCACCACTCGAGGCCCTTCATGCTTCACTCCAAGAGGTGGCTCATCCTGTTCCCTTTATATGGCATTCCCTTCATGCCTTCTTCCCATGTCTGAATCCTGCTTTCCTCAAGGTCCAGCTTCATATTCCCTAATAGAAAAGTATTCCTCAGGGACAAGGCACTACCAAGCCTGATGACCTAAATTCAATCTCTAGAACTCCCAAAAGTTGTCCTGTGACCTCCACATGCACATGTATCTGCCCCCACTCCCCCAAAATAAACACATGTACATTTTTAAACAGGTAATTGCTGGGCATGGTGACACTGCCTTTAATCTCAACACTCAGGAGGCAAAGACAGGCAGAGCTCTGTGAGTTCTAGACCAGCCAAGGCTACATAGTGAAACCCTGTCTCAAAAAAAAGACATTCCTCAGTAACTCCCTTTAGCTCCTCATTTTCCCAAACATCCCTTATGGCATTGATCTGTCTCTTATCAGCATAGGTGCACCTGTGAGGAGGAAGCTGTCTTTTTTCTTTCCCACTGGGCAAAAAGGCATGTCAAAATGCCCTCTAAATCCCTTCTAGTATCATACTTAAAAAAAATAATGACAATAAATATGGGGTGACTATAAAATGAAGAAATATGGCAAGGAGTGTGTGAATGAAGGGCTTCAAATACTCAACAACACTGCTTGGGATGACTGGACTTGGGTTTGGAGTAGAGAATGTGGCCATCCCCATAGCAACAGACCCTACTCTGCCCTGGACACTCTCTCAGCTGTCACCATCATTCCAGCCAGGATGCATAGCACCCAGCCCTGTCCCATCCCTCAGGCCAAGCCAGAGGCTAAGCAGCCCTCGTATCTTCTCTCTGAATCTATAGGGGTTGGGCTTCCCAGCCTACATCCCCAAGCCTACACCAAATGGCCAACTGGCTGCAGCTGGCCTCATCTTCACCTCTCTCAGGGGACAAATGAGCAAAAGTACTGGCAGAGTAGGAAAGAGGCTTGAATCCTGGTTCTGGCCTGTCATGAACTAGCTAGCTATTTGAACTTTGTTGTAACAGTCAGATGTGGGACAAAACCATCATCTCCCAAACTGTGGTTCCCCAGGCCACTAGGCAAGTTATTACTGTTTCAGAGAGATGCATCCAAAAACATGTCCTGGCCTAGCACTCCGCAGGCTCCATGTGGGAAATGGGAAGACAAGATACACTATGGGCTTATCCAACTGTGACAAACTAGAAGTGGGGGACATAGTCTTGGGAGCTGGAAAGGCTTCTGAGGTCAGCTCTCTCCTCAAAACCCTGAATTCATTTATCTTAACAGCCTCCCCACAGTAGATAGTAGCAGCTGAGCTGCCCTGTGAGAAAAACAGGAATTAGGCTTCCTTCCAGATGTACCAGACTTGGAGTAAGAAGGAGGCACCCTATAACCTCAAGCAGTGACACAGACATGTTAACCCTAGGCCTACAGATGGGCACCTCCAACACATACCAACCCCTTGCCATGGAGATGACAATGTAGAGCCAGAGAAGAGTCAAAGGTCTACAAACCAGGGCTGAGATAGTTGTAGAGGAGATGAATGGACACAAAACACCCAGCTCAAACAACATAAAACAAAAGTGTCCTGAATCAACCTTTATTAATAAACACCAATGGCTTTAACCCAAACAAATGCTTTCTCAGTACTACCTACTAACCACCTATTTGTCCCAAACTCCAGGGAGTCAGAGGACCCAAAGCATCACCCTCAGAAACTTTCCCTGGGTAGTCTTAACCCCTACCCCTTTTCACATCATCTGTCAGAGAAAGGCAGGCAGGGGAGGACAGCAATTCCTGAGTATAGTGAGAACAGAACTCGTACATGTGCCTCTGGCATTGACTAGAAAGGTCCCTTCATTTAACTTGATTTTCTTCCCTTTAATTGGACAATAAGAACACTGATTAAACTATCTCTAGGGTTCATTCCCCTGACCTTGATCAGACCTATCGCCTTACTAGGTCCTCAGACCATGGAAAGGACTCAGGGAATGACAGCAGATCAGGGGTAGTGACCACGGATGTCTGGTGAAAAGGCACAGCCAATTCATCTGAATCCTGGAATAGGCGCTGATGTATAATGGCTGAAAAGGAAGAGATGCTGAGTCTCCTGGTGGGAAGAAGAGGTGATAGGTGCTGCAGAGTCAACCATCTAGTCTAGAGGGAACGTGGAAGCCATGTGTGGGAGATAAAAATGGTAGTGTTCTGGACCAGGAGTGATTATACCTATAATCCCAATACTTGGGAAACAGGCAGGCAGATCCCTGTGAGTTTGAGGCCACCCTGCTCTACATAGTGAGTTCTAGGCCAACCAGAGTTACATAGTGAGAGAGGGGACAGTGCTCCAGGGTCTCCATCCTTGGAAGGGAGTAGGGTGCAGAGAAGACATGTGCTTCACCCAGGACAGAGCAAAATGGGAAGGAAATGATATGAGGTAGAGTGAGAAGAGGAGTTCAGGTCCAAACCATGAACTTTAAGTAGGATGGCAAATTTTGAGGGAGAATCAACAACTAGGCAAGAATTTCATGGGGTGGGGGGGACCATCTGGTAGCTTAGAAACCCCTAGTGAGTTAAGAAGAAGCCACCTTTTAGAGTACACAATCTACAACTAGGTGGAGTACAGATGTGTGAGCTGGAAGAAGCAGGGATAGGCACACACTGCTGGGTACAGGAAGGAAACAGCCCAGAAAGACCTTAAGACAAAGTACTTGCCACTTTGCCCCACAGCAAGAGGGGCAAAGCTCTAGGCAGAGCTTTTAGAACATTCTAGATGTCCAGTTCCCTCTACTCTAGGAAAGATAAAGGATGTCCCTAAAAGGACAAAAATTCCTGGGGCCCTGTTGTGTGGAAGCCTCAAGGTGGCAGCTGGGGCTAGGCCCAGGAGAGGAGGGGCTGGGAAGAGGAGAGGGTAGCAGTGCCTTCAGCCTCAGGATCAAATTACAGGGCTGTTTCCATACTTAGCCACCTGACAGCCACTTGGAATACTTACCACTCCGGCCACCACAGCCCCACAGAGACCAAATTAACTCAAGGGCAGACAAGGGCAGAGCCCAACAGCAAACTCAATGACCATAGCCCCCGAGCCTTACCTCTCTCACCCGCCCCCCAAAAAACGGCCTTTGTTCCTCCTAATGCCTGCTCTCCTGAGACTGTGCCCCGTCAGCCCTATATTCTCAGAAGACAGAACCTCAAAGATCTGAGTGCAGACCCACAAATCCCACAATCTCATGTGTAGACAAAGACTAAGTGTTAGGCCAGAAAGTGTTTGATTCCCTAGGGGGATCTCAGAGTCCTCCCCCAAAGAATCTCCAAAGGTAAGTCAGCCTTTGGGAGTCTTAGGAACCGGAGAGGTGGCAAAATGATCGGGTATCCCTTCCACAACCTATAAATAACCACCATGCTGCAACCCAAGCCACCGCCTCTGCCACACAAAGTGCTGAGATGTCAAAGGAAAGCCAGGGTGTGCAGAGCCGAGCCCCCTTCTTGAGGGGAGCCCTGCCCCCGACAGACGCTCTCTTACATTTCTGTCTGCATTCTGTTTAATTTTGTTTCTAACACAATCACCAATTCTCAACTCTGCATCAAATCCTACTCCAACCTGACTCCAACTCAATCCCATTGTTCACAAAATGATCCCCAACTTGCCTACAGTGTCCCACTCTGTCCTCACCAATGCAAACCTAGGAACAGAGGCCTCTGTCCTATCTCCCACCCGGCGGGATGGTCACCCTCCAACTCCAAGACTGTTATTTTTATCCATCTCAAAGACTCCCCTAGGCCTGGTTTTTGGGGTCCTCTTTCCCAGCATGTGTCAACCAGACTCCTCTCTCTGACCCTGGTTCAGGCCTCAGGACCATCTGCTTTCTTCATTTCCTTTGAGAGCCCCTCACTGGCCCCACAGTATTCTCTAGCACCTCATTTCTCTGTGCTCCATCTCCCATGAGAACAGTGGTGACACCAGCAAGGAGCAAAGTTTTGCCATCAGCCAGCCCCCTATTCCAATAAGAACTTGGGGAACATCAGGGGCACAGTAGGGGCCATCTGTGCAGGGGGCATACCTGCTTGTCCTGAGAGAAGGAGTGAGGCCAGGAAGCAGCAGAGCAGGAGCAGTGCCTTCATGGTGCCTGCCAAGAGAGCCCAGCTGCTCCTCGCCTCTATTTATATTGTGGGTCCAGGCAACAGCAGCAGTCAGTGGCAGGCAGAGGAGGGCGGGGGAGAAGGGTCACACAGTCACTAGGGCAACTGAGCAGACGTGATGGGGAAGCCCAGACCCCAAAGGCTATTGCAAATGTTATTCCAGCCTCCAAGTACCAGAAGGCAGGACCTAGGTCTGGACTCCCCTTACACCTCCAGGATCATATAGTATGAGTCACAAAGAGGGGGCTAGGGGGATAAAGTGAGGTGTATCCTTTCGGCTGAGGTTCAGGAGTTAGGAACTCAAGTCTTCCTAGAACGTGTGCTGCCTTGACCTAAAGTCTTAGGCAGATCCAGGTCCTGGACATGCCTCCAAATTAAGGGATTATAGGGCAAATCAAAACCTATCCTATTTGACAGCCAGTGATACGCACTCTAGCAAATAGCCAGTTTAGGGAAACCTGCAACATCTGACCTTTGAGGCCGACGACTACAAGCTTATCCTTCCAGGGCCTCTATAGAGAGAATGCTGAGCAGAGGGAAAAAGAGGACCCAGAGAAGAGCATGAGTGACCGTGATGTCAGTTGGAGGTGGAGCAACAGAGATCCATTTCCAGTGGGTAGGGGCTCCAGAATGTTCAGTCGCCTCTGCAAAGTGCTATTTGATGCAATCTTTCTCTGGACTTGTGGTAGCCCTGAGAGCCAGTTGTAGAAAGCCTAGGACAGCAGATGCTTCCTTGTCCAGCAAGGCAGATGGTGTCACCAGAAAAGGAGAAAGTAGCAGCTAGCCATGGAGAAAAGAAAGTAAAAGTAAACTAGGCATTGGTTACAGGCTAGACACTTCACAGTCTCAGTTTGTTTTTATAGTCCTAGAGGTTGAACAGAGGGACTTACCCATGCCAGACCAGCCCTGTACCACAGAACCATAGCACCAGCCCTTGTGCTTTATGTTTTTATCTTATTTTGTTAATATTTTATTATTTTTATTTTATGTATATGAGTGTGTTGCCTGTATAAATTGCACCTGTGTTGTGCAATGCCTTCGGAGGTCAGAAGATAGTTACAGTTGTTAACCACCATGTGGGTGCTGGGAACCAAACGCAGGTCCTCTGCAAAAGCAGCCAGTGCTCTTACCCAGTGAGCCATCTCTCCAGCCTATGCTTTACGTTTTTAATGCAACTTTAGTGATATACAATTAATATAAAACACACTACACATATTTAAAGGGTATAAACTGATAAAATGTGACCTGCCTGCAACTTCCTGTATATCAGCACAATTAATAAATAGATTCCTCCCCTCACAGTCCATCCCCAGAAATCAATGATCTGCTTGCTGTCAATACACACTAGTTTGCATTTCACAAATTTGTCAGTGAGTGGAATTATGTCATGTTCTTTATCTGCTTCTTTCACTCAGCACGATTATTATGAGATTTATCCATGTTGTAGCAATGGCTCATTCCTTTTTATCACTGAGTAATCTTCCACTGTCTGGATAAACCATAACAGGTTATCTGTTTACCTATTGATGGATATGTGGCTTGCTTCCAGGATTGGAGTATTACAAGTAAAATTGTTATGAATATTTGTATATGCACCAATGTACAGACATAAGCTTTTATTTCATAGGTAAATGCCTAGGAGTAAAATAACTGGGTCACATGCTGTTTCAGCTTCTTCTAAGATGACTGTCCTGTTTTATGTTCTCAAAAGTGTACCAGAATGGGTACACTTACATACATACAAGCAATATACTCATACACATAAAATAAAAATAATACTTTAAAAATGGGACCAGAGCCGGGCATGGTGGTACACGCCTTTAATCCCAGCACTCAGGAGGCAGAGGCAGATGGATCTCTGTGAATTCAAGGCCAGCCTGGTCTACATAGTGAGTTCCAGGACAGCTGGGGCTACAGCTGTCTCAAAAAGACCAAAAAAAAAATGGGACTAGAGATGGCTCAATGGGTAAAAGGACTGGCTGCTCTTGCAGAGGACCTGGGTTCAATTCCCAGCATCCACATGGCAGCTAACAACTGTCCATAACTTCCAGGGGAATCCAATACCTTCATCTGATCTCCATCAGTACTGCACGACACAGGTGCACTTACATACATGCAGGCAACACACTCATACACATAAAATAAAAAAAAATAAATAATTTTTTTTGGTCTCTTTGAAGCAGGGTCTCCCTGTAGCCCAGCTGTCCTGGAACTCACTATGTAGACCAGGATGGCCTTGAACTCAGAGATCCACCTGCCTCTGCCTCCCAAGTGCTGGGACTACAGGCGTGAGCCACCATGCCTGGGTAAAAAAACAATAAATAATTTTTAAGGTACATCAGAGTTTCAGTCCTTCCCCATCCTTGCCAACACTTGATATAGTATGTGGTCCTGAGAATGGAATCCAAAGTTTACATATGCTAGTCAAGAACTCTATCACTGAGTCACACCTCAGCCCCTTAGCTTCGGGCATTTTAATACATGTACAGTGTAACTCACTGCAGTTTTCATTCTTACATTTTTATGCACCCCCATGCATGTGCACAAGGATAGTGATTGATATGTGTGCACACATGCCACAGTGCACACCAAGATTAGAGGATGGTTCTCTCCCTCCACCACCTAGAGCTTGGGATTTAACTCAGGTCACAGACTTGGCAACAAGTGCCTTTACCAGTTGAGCCATCTCACCTCAGTGTAGTTTTAATTTGTATTCCCTAATGAATAATGATACTAAGCATATTTTCTTTTCCTTTTTTTTTTTTTTTTTTTTTTGGTCTTTTTGAGACAGGGTCTCCCTGTAGCCCCAGCTGTCCTGGATTCACCATGAGACCAAGCTGGCCTCCAACTCACAGAGATCCACCTGCCTCTGCCTCCCGAGTCCCGAGTGCCGGGATTAAAGGTGTGCTCCACCACACCTGGCCTAAGCATATTTTCATACATTTGCTATCCATTTCTTTGGTATATAATGAAGTTCCTGTTCAAATCTTTTGTCCATTTATTTGGGCTGTTTTACTCAGTTTTAAATCATTTATACTGCATACAAATCCTTTATCAGACATACAATTTGCAAATATTCTTTTCTAGACAGTAGTTGTCATTCCATTCACTTAAATGTCTTTCAGAGAATAGAAGATCTTGATTTTTTATCAAGTACCATTTATCAATTGTTCATTTATGAATTAAATTTTTGGTGTCTTATCTAAAAGTTCTTTGCCTAAAGCAAAGATTTTCATTGATCTCTCTCTCTCTCTCTCTCTCTCTCTCTCTCTCTCTCTCTCTCTCGGTCTTTCTATGTAGCCCTAGCTACACTAGAACTCATTATATAGACCACACTGACCTCAGACTTATGATCTTTCTGCCTCAGACTTATGATCTGAGTTTGCATCTGTTGTACATTCCATACTTGGGGTAGGGATGAGGCAGGGTCTCAAGTATCCCAGGCTGGCCTCAAACTATGTTGCCATGAATGGCCTAGAATTCCTCATCCTCCTGTCTCCAACACCAAAGTGCTGAGAATATAGGGGTAAACCACCATGCTAAACCTAGGGATTATTTTTTTTAATATTTTATTTATTTTTATTTTTATGTGTATGCGCGTATTGCCTGCATATAGGTAAGTGCACCCATGTCATGCAATGCCTGCGGAGGTCAGAAGAGGCTGTTGGATCCCCTAGGACTGGAGTTACGGACAGTTATTAGCTACCATGTGGGTGCTGGGATTCGAACCCGGGTCTTCTGCAAAAACAGTGTTCTTAACAGCTGAGCCATCTCTCTAGACCCAGGATTATTTTTTAATACTTTATTGTTATGTGTGTGCAGTGTGTGTGTGTGTGTGTGTGTGTGTGTGTGTGTGTGTGTAAGTGCATCAGTGCCTTAGCACAAGTGGGGAGGTTAGAGGACAACTTTTGGGAGTCAGTTTTCTCATTCCAACATAGAGTTCCAAGGATTCAGGTTGTCAGACTTGTGAGCAAGCACTTTTACCCACTGAGCTATCTCACCTGCTCCAAGATTTGGGGGTTTCTTTTTTTTTTTTCTTTTTCTTTTTTTCTTTTCTTTTTCTTTTTGAGATAGGGTCTCACTATGCAGTCCTAGCTGGCTTGAAATTTGCAGTATAGACCAGGTTTGCGTCAAACCCAGTGATCTGCCTACCTTTGCCTTCCCAGTACTAGGACTAACGGCTGATGCTTAGCAATTTTTTTTTTTGACAGTTTTCCAAACTGGATTCAAACTTGTAGCAACACTCCTGGCTTGGTCTCCTGAGTTCTGAGATTACAGTTGTGAGCCACCAAACTCAGCTAATAGCCCTTATTGAAAGAACTGTCCCATATATCTCAGAAATTACAGGTTATCAATCATAGGACTTAAATTCCCACCCAGTTCAGGAACCCCATCCACAAAAACTCTTGACATATTCACCCAGTCTGTTTGAATACTCCCAGTGATAACCTTATTACTAAAGAATGACTCCATTGTTGAATACAGTAAGGGCCTAGAATCAGCCAGTGCTGCAGACCTCCCTACCACCTGTCAGTCTAGCTTCCCACAGAAAAGGCAGATAGCCTCTCCTTTGATGGCAAGACATCCCAATAACCTTCAGCACCAATCCAGCTTCAATGGTATTTCCTTTCTAAGAAAAGAACATTTTTTTCAGTTCTCTCTGTATCATCTTCAGCTCCCACAGGGCAGGAGTTAGCAAGAAAAATGAGTCGAAAGGCCAATCTCTATTATTTGGGCAGCATATGCAACCTTGTCCAACCACTTGCATGTTGCCTACTTAAAATCTTGAGAATGTTCACCCAGATAGGCCTCACCCTGGAGGAATCTTTGACTTGGATCACCTAATTCAGGAAACTCTGCAGCTGTCCTTCCTGGTTCCTTTTTCATGATCAGGGGTGTGGTGGGAGAAGAACTGATCTGAGGAGTTCATTCCTTTGTACAGCTGCCAGACTGAGTGCCAATCCTGCCTACAGCCCCCAGTCCCACCCT